CGTGAAAACCTCAAATCCTACAATTAATGCATTCTACAAGATAACGGACTGAACATCTGGAGAATTCATAAACTCGCCGTATACTCGCCCGCAGATACGTCTCCAGCTAAGGACAAAATTGTGCTGGCTGGTCGGGTCTATCGTACACCTCTGAGTCGGTAATGGATGATTATGGAAAAGACCGACTCGGAGAGAAGACTGCCTATTTGCCAAAATCTACGCCACGAATCTGATGAAGAACCCAGGACTCTACGGTGACAATCAGATTTCAAAGCTCGCGTGGACCGCGAGTGTACAACAAACAGGCAGGGTGCACTGATACAGCTAGGACGGTGGAGATATTTTCCTACAAGGAACCTGGGTGCTCCTAGTATTAATTAGGGCAAAACCATCTTCATTTCTTAAGTGTCTTATTTTCAAACTTAATACATTGGTTGTTTTGATCTTTTCCTAGAAAGTGTTTCTGTTTACCAATCCCTTTTTATAACATTAAAGTTGACATGTCATGGTTTCAGTTCAGTTCTTCCACTGATGCTTCATGTTTCTTTATTATTTAAAAGCTTATAACCTACCATTTTCTTGCTCGGTGCCAGGAATTACCTTTTGCCCGCGTTATTTATCTGACTTTACTGAACTCTAGACAAAAACATGGTCCGCTTCCGAAACGCCATAATTAACTCCATGCAACAGAATGTTGAGAAGCTAGTGAGGAACACAAGCAGGATGCAATTAAGACACAAGAAATGCATGTTTTTAATGAAACCCGAAGGTTTATTTCGTAATCATAAAATCCTGCCACGAGCCTTTTTCCTGAGCCACAATAAATCTGTACTAATTTCTTTAATATCTAAGTGATATTTCTCTTTAGGTTTTACAGTTTAGAATTCTACGCATATTATCCATATCTCTCGTGTATTGTGTGCTGTCCTCTTCAAACTGATCATCTTAACAATGTTTGGTGAAAAGTGCAAATTATGAAGTTCCATATTTTGTAATTTTCTCCACCCTCCTGTTACGTCCTCAGACTTAGAACCAAATAATCTTCTCAAAAGTTCCTAACCTACGTTATTCCTTCACTGTCAGACACAAAGTTACTCACCGACACATAAAGAGGTAAATGCCATATTCTTATGTAGACAACGAGGAAAGAAATTCTCCCATGGCAGCATTTCATCTTGTTCAGAATAAAAGTCAGATTGATTACTCCCATGTTCCTGAGAACGTTACTGCATAATTCACTGTGACTTCTGACCTGAAGTGGAAAAGATCGATCCTATAAAGCCCTACTCTCAAGTTGTTCTTCAGCCCTCAGTTCATAGATACTAAAGCTGTCTAGGCTTAAGAGATTAATGAGAAAATAAATCAGACTTTTTTACATTTGATAGCTTTTCTTCTATTTATAAGCCTATATTTAATGTTTGTAAGTTACGAAGGTCCTTGTTTCTTCCGATTAGACTCATCCTCGTGCATTATGGTAATAGGATACATTTGTTTATTTCATACAGAAAGAATTTCTATTCAGTAATGTTTATAAATAAGTACCTCTCCTCTCTTTTATTCAGTTAAATTTTACTGCAGCAGTAAATAATTAATATACCTACAATTTACTTCACGTTTAGAAAAGACTGGAAAGTCCCCTGTCATGAAAATATTACAAAATTATCAACTAATAGTAAAGTGAAAATAAAGAAATACGTTCTGTACAAGGACGCAGTGAATAAATAAGTTCTGAACATATCATATGTTGCTGGGAAGGGCAAGGCCTACGGTCCGTGCCGAAACACACAAAACACCTGAAGGTGATAGGCCACCTCACAAACACCAATACATCCTTATATATCAGTGTGCACAGAAAATACGAACTATATTTCATGCATATAATATTTAAAATTTCGATTGTAAGTGGAAGGAATTAAACATACGAAGACATTCGAAAAGCAATTGACGGTTCAACAATGCTCCTTGAATATTTCGAATTGAACAAACGCGATCCAAACGCACGAAAGTATTATTGTTTCGAAATTCCAAAGCACTATACGTGGAGAGCAGAAATAAAATGTACCAATGATGATGAAGAAAACTGTTGAATACGAACAAAAGACAAACTTGAAGAAACAGAAGTCATGGTTTCCGCGAAGAGATGGTAAACACACAATCGGACGCGTTTACGTATAGTTTAAGCCCTAGAGATCAAGAAACATTCCATCTACGTGTTCTTTTGATGAATGTGAAAGGCGCAGAAAACACTGTCACTTATCAGACATTCACAGAAGCCTGTTTAGCACGTGGACTGATCGAAGATGACGCTGAATGGAAACGTTTCATGCAAGAAGGTGCGATCTACCAAATGCCTTATCAGCTACGTGTTTTGTTTGTTCAGATTCTAATCCATTGTCACCCATTGCACCCCGAAGAGCTTTTCAGTGATTTAATCGATATAATGGCGCAAGACTTTAAAAACAAGATAAACTTTCTGACTCTGACGCACGTGACAAAGCTCATGCCAACATTAATGAATTGTTAATTATTGAAGGGAAAACTTTGAAAGACTTTCCAACACTGCCTCAGGAAATTAAAAAATTACAGACAGTAAATAACAAAGAATTAACTGTTGAGGAACACATTGGACTTGGCGAAGAAATGTACAAATCATTGAACGAGAAACAAAAGGAAATCGTTGACATTATACTTAATCATATAGACGGAAAAACAACTGTCAAAAAACCATACTTCTACATTGATGGTCCACGATCATTGCCCCCACATACTTTGCGACTACGTAAGAACGCGGTTGATTCGTAACTTGAGCGTTTGGGAAGGATTAGTTAACGGAACACGTTTATTAGTACAGCAGATGACCAACAACCTCCGTCAATGTATGGTCATAACGGGAGATCATTCCGGTGAAATTGTTTTCATGCCACGTATAAAACTATACTGTGACAGATAATACCAAATTACGATGTGGAGACGCCAATTCTCCGTAACACTTGCCTTCGTAATCACTATCAACAAAGCTCAAGGCCAAACGTTGAAACGAATTGGCATTTATTTGGAACTGGATGCTTTCGCACATGAACAAATCTACGTCGCATTTTCACGTGCACCAAGCGACAATTGTATATTTGTTTATCTAAAAAAGGTACGAAAAAATAATCTCATTAAAAACGTTGTCTATAGAGAAATATTGAACGAACAGAGCATGAGTGGCAGGAGAACAGAAGACATTAAAAGAAAAGACAGAAAGCGAAAAATTGAAATGAATCTTGACGAAATTAAAAGTGAAACAGTTGAACATGTTGTTAAACATGTAAAAGTTGAAGGAAAAAAAAGAACAATAACTCATGAAGAGAATGAAACGACGATTACACGTGAAATTGTACCAACTATCGAACATTTGAAATTGGAGAATGTCAGTGGATCAGACTGCTTTTTGATTTCCTCACTAAACATGTTGCATTCAGCTGCTATGTTCCTCGAAAGTCTAAAAGAAATGATATTAAATGAATACGACGGCAACAACAATGGTGCAAAATTGATCTCCGAGACTGCAAACGTATACAGACGTCCTCAAAACATACATAATGTCCTTTCAATACGACAAAACCTTAATCGAGATTTGAGAAGAGGTTTCCAAAGTGTGTCCGAAACGATCAACAACATTTTCGAGAATTTACCTATTGAAATGCAAAACCTGTTTGACTATCAGACGGTGAATACAAAAACATGTAGAAATGGTCATCAACGTCAAGAACGTTATAGAAACCAAATATTGGTAATGAACTTACCACAAACGAACGTGACAAACTTCAGAGACTTATTGGACCATCAAACACAAACAGATCTGCACGGAACGTGTACGGTATGTCAACAACACTACATATGTGGAACGAAAGGAATTGTTGTTGGTGACCGTCAAAAGTACGAGGCTCGTCCACAAAGTAAGTTTCCCTGGGGCCGTTTACAGAAACAAAACACAATTTCATGGAAATATTTATTGCAACAGATACAGCAAGTGTCCAGCTATTTTTCAACATATTGCTGAAAATTGTCTGCACCAGCGACGCACCATCTGCTTGCTCATGACGTTAGGCCCATAGACCCGGCACAGCTGACGATGAATTTCGATCGGCGCTATGCTCTGTGCATTCAAAAACTTTATCACTGACCGCACTTCACAGTCGGCGGGAGCTGGAATAAGAACCTCCATCTTCAACAGCTGCAACGATGCTACTGTGAGAACGCGGGAAGTACCGTTAGTGCATGGGCCATGCTACGTCATTGCTCTATCACGTACGCACAGTCGCTTCGCGCAATATAAGGTTTGCTAGCTGTGGGACGAGTGGGAAACTTACTTTGTGGACGCGCCTCGTACATGATTTTGGAAATAAATAGATTGACTCTAAATGGAGTACGCACATTTGAAATAATGAGAATCAGACAAGACAACCAAATTATGTATGGAAAATATTGGAAATTGCAATGTGCGGTCGAATTTGTAGACATTAACGGTACTGGAAACGACGGACATTTTAAGGCATGGCGACGTTATAACGATGAATGGCTTATCTTCGACGATAATCACATTACCAAATCTAGAAAATTTATCGACAAATGTAAAAGTGTTACACTTTTATTATTTGAAATCATAGAATAAAAAATGTTGCATCATTTGTTTACTCTGTTTTGTTGTGATGGTATATTGCCTTCAACAATCCCCTTCCGTTTTTACTCATAGTATTTTAACAGACAATACGTCTTTATCGAATAATATATCGAAGATTGGCAAGGGTTGAGTTGGCTGTAGAAAGTTGACTGACCAAGAGTAGTTGGCCACCGAACATCGACGTAAAGAAGTTGAATATCAGAAGAGAATATAGGACGGTCAAAACTGCGGAAACGTGTCCTGAGTTCAATTTCCGGAGAGGGTGGTTACTGTTGCTTGGAAACTAAGCACAACAGAAAAATAGCACCAAGGCAAAATTAATTCGTTTAGGCGAGGATATTACAGGAACTAAGGTTAAAAGCCAATAAACCGTACTGGGTTCGAGTCCAGGTAAGATGGTTTGTGTATCTCGAGAAATAAGCACAAATGGAAAACTACCGCAAGACCAAAGTTGTTTTGCTGAAGAGCTTGCGGGAAAGAAGGCCGCAAGCCAACGATGCATCTACGGAAAAAACAACAAACGTTGTTTGTAAATAAGTTCTAGTTTGAACTGTCATGACAAGAACGTAACATTTGACTTTCCCTAGAAAAGGAAGGAATGTAGGACATGCATTCTCAAGAATAATTAATGTTAATAGTTTTGTGTTGAGCATTATTTTTAGAAGTTTGTAAATATGAATTCTTATTCAAACATCATTCTGTCTCTGTAGACTGTAATATTTAATTTAAAAAACAAAACTACCTCGTCAATTTAATTTAATTCCTCAGCTTGCTACAGTACAATATACACAAGCACTTTCCCGCGCTGATGTCAAATTATACTAAAGGTGCAAAGTGTGTTAGAGGAGTAAGGGATATCTGCAAAAATAATTTGTTTCGGCTGGTGCTTTAGAAAAGGGTGACCAGTGGCTTTGGACGAAGATGAATAAAGATTCTGAGGCAAGCAAAGAGGAGCATCGGTACGACGATGATACCGAATTAACATCGCGACACTGACTGAACACAAAATCATAAAAAGGTAAGCCCCGAAATGCCGTACAACACGAATCTACGACACCTATCGTCTCGACTACGACACAGAAATTCTTGTAATGTAGATGAGACAATGGCAACCATAGGGCATGACCCTAACCGAAGCCGAGGGCCGAGACAAGTTAGCATAGAAATACCATTCTATACAAAGCTGGCAAACCGACCCCGAGAATTGCGATGCCGACTCAGAATTCCAAACCAAGTCTCGGGACCACATGCGACATATTTTTCAAAAAACGACGCCGACAGTCGCAACGCCTATCGTCGCGACGATGATACATTTCATGGAGAGGTCAGATGAGACAGGAAACTATTGGGAAAAAATTGTTAACCGCCCTTCAACAAAGAAACTGCCATATATGTGAACCTATTAAACGTAGTCATGATTAAAAAACGCATGTCTCTGACCGGCTTTAAGTTAAGGAAGATTGATAAGTAAATGTAGGAATTTGTTGAATTTCCTCGCAGGAACTTTTTAGACACTACTACTGGATGCACAAACCCATGCCGAAGGCCACCAGTGGAGGCGATCCTCGGCTAGTTCAGCCATCTCCCATCCTCACGATCTGCTTCCCCAAGACTCACATTCGGGGCATACCTCCATTTACTTTCGGCGAAGATGACTTTTCTGGAATGTTACGCCGTGTAATCTGGTACAAGTTTACCGAGTTTCGGAGGCGCTTGTTGCCTCTGCAACGTCCGTAAACGTCTACCAGTCTGCACGCAACAAACTCGCTGACGTAAGAACCTAAAATCTCACCGGTTTTAATTAAGTTTTCTCTTAATTATGTAGACTGATAATTTATTCTCTCTACATCCAAACTACACATTCATTTCGTCGCAACATTCTGATTTCACTATTCTGACTAATTGACAAATTTCCTCTTTCAGCAATATCATAAACTGCTCATTACCTATATCTTCTTTCTTAGCACTTTGTTTGCTTACATTTTTAGTTTATATTATACTCTTTAAGAGTTTCACACTCATACAAGAAAGAAAATAATTTACAGCATATTTCGCACAGCACAGTTCTTCTGGGGTTTGACACAGTGCAAACTCACAGATACCAAAATGTCGGTGAAAAGTCTATATCTTCAGGATTTCAGGGCATCCTCATATCTGAAGACAGAGATAGTATGTTTCTCCGAAACGCTAGTTATCTACCTACGATTCTAAACGGTTTCAAAGCCCACAACATCGTCAATCTCATCACAGTGAGAACCTTAAATCTCAAATACTTAGTGTCCTGTAAAGCAAGTGGCTGGTGACACATTCTACACTACATAAAAATATATGCCACTGTAGCTATCAACAAATTAAATTTGAAAATATTTCGAGAATTTTAAACACGACACATCAAAATAAAGTCCCTTATTTTTACAATTCATACCTGAAACTAGAAATGACGACATTATGTTTATGAAAAAATAAACAATAGAGAGAAGATAAAATATTATCGAATCTGTCTATTCCTCGCGTTACATTAGATTTAGACTCATGACACAATGCTGACGTACCGCGGTTGGACCGCCTGGATCATCTGCGTTCCTAATAGTGAGGTAATCATAACACTCTTGGTATCGACCTTGGTAGCTCCTTTCATGGAAACCGAAGGCCATTAAACAATAAAATAATTACTATGTAAAATGCCGGGGATATTATATAAATGGATGGCGCACTACGTAAGACAAAGTTCGTATAGAATCATCATTTATTCTCGCAAAGCCCATGTTCATTCGAATGACATCAGACAATAATCTCTCCGAAGTTCACAATCACCTGCACGCCAAAGGTCATAAATGCACTGGTATGTAACATAACATACATACAATTAATGTTTATACACATTCTGAGTTGTTTTATCACTCCTCTGGTTGCGCATTTCATAAAGATTCGAGTAATTTTTGTTCTCTTTTACAGATGCGCAAAACCTGTGTTCCAGCCTGCCCATTTAACTAAGAATTCAAAGATATAGCCTACTTAATCTGGGCAATGAAAACGGCGTCCAAAGGAGACACAAACTGAATTCTGCGTCGCAGAAATTAACAGAGAATACGAAGAAATTCAATCGTTACCGAAGAAAATCTCCTGAAACCAACTCTATCGTTTACTGACACTGTCATTGTAAAATTCTCAGGTCAGTGAGGGAAGCCACGCACATCCAGTGTAATAGAATCGGTAAACTGAATAGTCCAGAAAGTAAATTAGCCAACACGAACTTTCAAAACTATTAGCATAATCCGTCCACACAAATCCATCGGATTGGTCATTTACGGTGACCTCTGGATTGCGATAGAGAGGAATTAAGTGTAAAATTTGTGTACAGAATAAAGACACAGATTCCTGGTACCAACAGAGGATGGATCAATAGTTACTGCTCAGCTATAGATCTGATGGTAACAGTGGTCGTAAATTACAGCAAAAATTATTGATGTACTCGTAGTATTTCGCAGGATTTCTACTTTTATTTACATCAACTACTACTACTATTATAAGGATTGGGCCTATTGGCCCGTTCCGGTTACTTAGGTCTTTTTTCGTTACTAACTCTCTCGTTCGGCAGCGCACAGTTTGCCTTAACGTTTTCACAGCGTATAATACTAAAAATGATGTGCTTGCTAGCATCACAGCCGTAAACTCTCAAAATTCCACGCCTTTCGCCCAAGTTCGTGAGAATGGATTTCACCGCAATTTCTGCGCAGCTAAAATTCACCGGCCTCCACAAAATATCTGAACTGTAGCCAATATCAATTGGCAATTTCTGTGAAGGTTCATTGTGTTGTAAAAAGGATTTTACTGGGCCAAAATCTTAAATTGTTCATGCATTTTGAAGTAAAGTTTGGTTTTAATATTTTACTGTTACAAACTGAAAATAATTCTCAGAAAGCAGGGAGTTTATTCGGAATTACAAGCTGAAGAATCGTAATAAAAAAACTAAGCTTAGGAGCTATATGTATATTCCATTGCTTAGCAAACGTGTTCATAATACGATTATCTTTGGTGTAATGACGAATCAAATGACAAGTTCAGAATCTCAGGATCATGACAATTACAGCTGTCTGAATCATAAATGTTCATTACAATTCAAACAAGCACTGAAGACACTCGCTGGTGTGTTTTAGTGTTCGAAGGAATACATTATGTAAATTCTGTAGAAATTATTTCAATTATATTATGGGCGAGGCACATACTATGCATGAAGAGATAAGAAATGTATTCACAATTTTAGTTTGCCTTAAGAGAGTAGACGACTTAGAATACCTAGAAGTACTTTTGAAAATAATATTAATATTAAAGGAATACCAAGAAATTGGACTGATAGTGAGAGAAAACGTCTACGTTGTGCGTTTACAAGATAGGTTATTGGAAAATGAGGTTCTCGCGGCGTTGAAGATGTCTATGTTGGTCCTCCGGGTTGCAACGCCGTGTGGATTTGTAGGCAGACATCGAAGTTTCGGAGTAAACACTATGTCCATCTTTAGGGCTAAAGTCCTGAAAATGGAGACAGTATGTTCTTCCAAAAGTTCTTGACTAGCTACGAGTTCGCCCGGCGTCACAATCCAAAAGACCACCATTTATGGACATTGTTTATAGGACACATAGAGTAGTGGAAAAAATACTGCACAAAAATTCTTGACCGCGGGTTTGATTAACGCTGTCACCTCTTCTTTGGGCGCGAACAAAAATGCACTGTCCCTAGTCACCCTTATTAACGGGCTTTATTCTAACTAACACGGCTGATAGCCCGAGAAGACTTTGTTAATGAAAGCCGCCGTGAATGCTTCACATCATATATCAGGCTTCATTCTTGTTTTTTTATTTATTCTGACATATTATCAGTGCCTATCGAAGTTGATATTACACGAAGCGTTGAATGCCCAAATGAAATAAATACGTTTAAAAGTGTATATAATGATAAACAACAATAATATCACAGGTGAGATTTTAGGTTCTTACGGCGGTGAGTAAGAAGATGGCTGTCTTCTGGGTTGTTGCCGTCAAGCATTTCTGAAACGTAGGTCTACTTCTAAGAGTACATGGCGCAACAACCTTGAAGACAGCCCATATTAAGATTCCCAAACTTATAAAAAAATGATATAATTTTAGCCATAATATTGTGCTGCAATTAGTACATTTTAGTATGTCTTACTATACCTATAAATGCGCACCGAAGTTCGAATAACTGACAGCAGTTTAAAAAATTTTAATTCATGAATTAGCCATGTCGCAAGATTCTCACGCCCGCTAGCAACGATAGCCCTTTGCTCCTAAGTTACAACAAACCTTACAATTCCAAATAAACTAGTTTTCCTGGAACTTGTAGGTGAGTTTCAAATCATGTAGCATAAAGCCTAAAATCAAGATCACGCCCCGAGTTACCAAGAATCTGTCTACAGATAATTACAGAGAGGTCACAACAGGGAACCATTCGACGAATGTGGCAGAGGACAGAGAGAAATGATTCTTCTTCTGAGAAATTAGGGCTCTATCCAAAAGTTCTAATCAAACGTGGCTTCTTAAGTTCTTAAGTTATTTTATGACATTACACCGGTTGTTGACATCATTTGCTGTCTCTCCGGATTAGACGATAGATTAATTTATAACAGGATTATTTTTGACATTGTTTCTACTATACAGGTTATAAAGAGGCAACCGAAAGTTGCGGCCTTGTGGTTACCGCTCCTACTTCTTGTTCAGGTTGTCCCGGGTTGAATGTTGCTCCCGGCAAGCTTAAGACTCACTATCCGAATAAAAAAGCCTGGCTGCGCTGGTTAACGATGCGCTTTATCTAACCGGTTCTGCTGTGTTCCAGTGTATGGAGTACCACTGAACCACGAAAGTAAGACAGAAGACTTTATTTTTCGATTTTACAAGGTCTTAGCCTGTCTAACACGGTTAACATAGCATTTAATGGGACATTAGCATACATGTGGTGTTTTATTAACGTTATATTTTAGACGGAAAATCTTAAGATACCAACTGATGCATCTAGAAGGCTGGAAAATATTAAAATAAATCTTAAATGCCAGAATCTGACGGTGTAAACGGAATTGAGCTAGCTCATCACATGGTCAATTTGTGGATTCTTGAGAATACAGTAATGGAACTTCGGGTTCCATACAGACGGAGAATTCCTTGCTCATTTGAGCGGCTATCACCTTCAAGGTGGACTTGGTAATAGTACCAGAAATAAAGTCAAGTGCACAAAGTAAAACATTTCTCACCTACAAGCAGATGTTGTCAGAATGTCTGCTTATCGACAAGATCACACTACTTGTTACCAGCAACCGATAGAAGCTCGAAATTGTTCCGTAACAACCCAGAAGACAATCGACAAGAGTCAAAACATTATTTTACTTGTGCCATTACTTTACAAGAACAACTGACTTGTTTCGAGGCTCCAGGAAAGCTTTAACACGCGACAAATTACTTAAATACTTCCATGATTTCTTGTGCTTAGAAACATAAGACCTTCCCTGTGAAGAGCTTTTTTGTTTAAAATTCAACGA